TTGAAGGTTACCTTAGGGATTTCGTCCCCCTTGTTATTTTCTTCTCCGCTTCAAAAATGTCTACCGGAGTTGTTGTTTCATTCTCTACAAGTCCTTCCATTATATGAAAAAATTATCTCTCTTGGTCTGCATATGTTGAAATGTGGTTCCTTGGCCAAGGTTATCATGATCACCTTGAATAAGATGGAAGCAATGTGCATCCTGAGAAAGTTGAACAGTGAAAGCAAGTTGATTTCCAACTATGTGTGCTGTTGTGGCAGTTTGTTGAACCAAAATTATTGGGTACCCTTAGAGCTTTTAAAACATGTAACTCTTTTTGAAAGAAAGCTCAAAACATTTTTGCAAATGATATTCAACGCCTTTACAACTTCGCAAATACGCTTGCGTCTCTCAAACAAACTAATCATGATATGATGTCCTTCATGATTGAAGCCCAATCTGTAGTTGAAGAACTGAAGATGTTTCTGGAGGTGGAGTCTTTGGAAGAAATAAAAAAGAAACTTGACAAGTACTATATGGTGATGATTCTTCGTGCTCTACATCCAGACTTTGATCATATTAGAGATCAACTTTTAATAGGTCAAAAGTTCCTTCAATGGAAAGTCTAACCACATGACTCCTTCGAGTTCCAATACCTTAAAACAAGGAAGTTCATGAACCTGAGGAACCTTCTGTCATGGTTTCCACACGAGGAAGGGGAGGACGAAATATTAGAAGTAGTCAAGGACGTCCTCAATGCACATATTGTAAAAGGATGGGTCACACTCAAGAGAATTGTTTCTCCTTACGTGGCTTTCCTAACAAGATAACCAATGTCTATAAGGCTGAAACATATGAATCCAAATTTTTTGATGAAGAATATCAAGAGTATTTGAGGTTAAAATCTAATAGCTTGGTGCAAACATCTACAACTCCTAATACATCAACAACTTGCATTTCTCAATCCATAGAAGGTAAAAATTCATGGATAATTGACTCAGGTACTTCTGATCACATCTCTGGTAATACCTTCTTGTTCTCATCTCTTTCTTTTCAAAAAAACTATCATTTCATAACCTTGGCAAATGACTCTAAAATTTCCTCAAAGGGAGTCGGTCAAGTTTCCCTTTCTCCTTCCCTAAATCTCAAACTTGTCCTTTTTGTTCCTAATTGTCCTTTCAATTTGATTTCATTAAGCCAGTTAACCAAAATGTTTAATTGTTCAATAATCTTTGATAACAAGTCCTTTGTTATACAGGAGCGTGGTTCGGGGAGGCGAATTAGAGAAGTATATGAAGCTGGAGGTTTATACCATTTTGGATCTAGTCACATGTGTCCTGTGTTGCATCTCCAAGTCCTAAACTGTTCCATGATTGGTTAAGGCATCCCCACTTGTCAAAATTAAAAAAAAATGGTCCCTGAGCTTAGTAGTCTCCAAACTTTAGAATGTGAGTCTTGTCAACTAGGAAAACATGTTAAATCTCCCTTTCTTAAAAGGTTTGAATCAAGGTGTAATTCTAGTTTTTTTATTATCCATTCTGATATTTGGGGACCAAGTCGTGTCTCATAATTTGGTTTTAGGTATTTTGTTACGTTTATTGATGAATATTCAAGATGTACTTGGATTTATCTTATGAAAGACCATTTTGAATTGTTACTTATCTTCACATCCTTTTTGAATGAAGTCAAGAATTAGTTTGGTCAAGTAATTAAAATTTTATAAAGTGACAATGTCAAAGAGTGCTTCTCATCTAATTTTTTTGCAATCTTAAGTTTACAAGGTATATTACATCAGTCTACTTGTCCTCACATACCACAACAAAATGGTATAGTAGAAAGGATAAATAGACACTTAGTTGAGACTACTTGTACCTTTTTGCTTGGTGTTGACATTCCCGTCCATTACTGGGGAGATGCCATCCTAACTACTTGTTTTCTTATTAATAGGATGTCATCCTCCTCTCTCAATAATAAGGTTCCTTTTTCCATTCTTTTGTCAAATGATATTCTCTTTCACATTTCTCATTGTGTATTTAGTTGCGTATGCTTTGTTCATGATATGTCTCTAGGGTTAGACAAACTATCTGCTCGTGCTATCAAATGTGTCTCTTTAGGCTATTCTCGACTTCAAAAATGGTATCGATGTTACTTTCCTAAAACCAAGAAGTACTACACGTCTGCAAATGTTATATTTTTTTAATAGACTCCTTGTTTTTTTCATCCAGTGAAGATGTTCATTTCATTCAGCAGGTTTTTCCTATACCATTAGTTGAGTCCAGTATGTCTAGTGCCTTAACCAATCCCAGTCTTGATCAAAATCCTCATGAACCATCATCGCCACCTATTGATATCCCACCAACATGGGACCTAAACAACCAGTCCAATTATCCAAGAACAAGGTAAATCTTCTATTTCATGTCCCTTTCCATCGTCACTCAATACCACAACTCTTAGTGAAAATTATTCAGGCCGACTCATTGCTCTCAGAAAAGGTACTCGTTTCACTTGAAATCTACATCCTATTTATAATTTTTTTAATTTTTTTAGCTATCACAGATTGTCGCCTTCCTATTATTCTTTTCTATTCTCATTGTCTTCTATTACTATTTCCAAAAATGTGAATAAAACACTTGATCATCCTGGACGGCGACAAGCTATGATTGTAGAAATGTAGGCTCTTGACCAGAGTAATACTTGGAAATTAGTTCCCCTTCCACCTAGAAAAAAGGTCGTTCGATATCGGTGAGTTTATACCATTAAAGTTGTTCCTAGGGGTCAGTGGCGGATCTTCTTGGGAGTGAGGGGGCCGTGGCCCCCCAAAGTTTTATAACTCCCATGTAATTTATGATTTTGGCCCCCCAAACTTAATAAACATTTAATATATTTACTTGTATATTTATAATTCTATCCTCTCAGCCCCTCCTTAATTTTGTAACTCCCATGTAATTTATGACTTTGTCCCCTCAAACTTAATGATCATTTAATATATTTAAATATATATCTACAATTTTATCCTTTTACCCTTTCATCTTCTTTCTTCCTTTTATATTTATTTATTATTTATTAATAATATATTATTTTATATTTATTTATTATTTATTAATAATATATTATTTGGCCCCCCAAGATCAATGGTGAAGATCCGCCACTGCTAGGGGTGAAGTTGATTGCCTCAAGGGACGATTAGTTGTAAAAGGATACATTCAAATTTATGGCCTTGATTACAGTGATACTCTCTACTGACCAAGATGACTACGGTTCGCCTCTTCTTTGTCATGGCAATAATTCGTCATTGACCACTCCATCAATTGGATATCAAAACTGATTTTCTACATGACAATCTTGAAGACGTGTACATGGAGTAACCTACTGGATTTGTTGCTCAAGGAAAGTCTGGTAAGGTTTATAAGTTGTGTTATTTTCTTTATGGCCTCAAGCAATCACCATGTGCTTGGTTTGGTAAATTCAGCACAATTGTTCAAAAGTTTAAGTTAAAACGCAGTGAAGCAGATCATTCAGTCTTTTATTGTAATACCTCTCTTGGGAAATGCATTTACCTAATAGTCTATGTTGATGATATAGTCATTACAAAAAATGATATTGCTAGAATATCTCAACTGAAGGAGTACCTAAGTAAACATTTTCAAACCAAAGATCTTGGGAGCCTCAAATATGTTTTGGGCATTGAAGTAGTTCAATCGAAAGGTGGGGTTATAATATCTCAAAGGAAGTACGCTCTTGATATCCTACAAGAGATAGGTATGCTTGACTGTAGGTCAGTAGATAGTCTTATGGACCAAAACCAAAAATTAAGGACAGAGGACAGTGAATCATTCCCTGATCCTGAAAGATATAGGTGGCTAGTGAGGAAACTAATTTATCTTACTATTACGAGGCTTGATCTATCTTTTGCAGTTGGAGTTGCTAGTTAGATCATGGAGGCTCCATGTATTGGCCATTGGAATGCCATCATTCGTATTTTAAGATACTTCAAAAAGGCTTCAGGACAAGGTCTGTTATATGAAGATAAAGGAAGTGTCCAAGTCTTTGGGTACAACGATGTTGATTGAGTAGACTCCCCTGCTACCAGACGTTCTACTATGGGATATTGTGTTTTTCTTGGTGGAAATATTATTTACTAGAAAAGTAAGAAGCAAAATGTTGTGGGCCGATCAACTGCTGAAGCTGAATATAGGGCAATGGTGTCTCTCACTCTTGAACTTATATGGGTAAAACAATTCCTTCGGGAGCTTAGTTTCTATGAAATCCAGACCATGAAGATGTATTGTGATAATTATGTTGCGCTCCACATTATGTCAAATCCAGTATTTCACGAGAGGACTAAACAAATAGAAACTGACTATCATTTTATTTGGAAAAAATTGTTGTCCAAGGAAATTTGTACTGAGTTTGTTGGGTCAAATGACTAACTTGCAGATATGTTGACTAAGTCCTTAAGGGAGCTCGGATTGAGTTCATTTGTTCCAAGTTTGGTACATACAATTTGTATGCTCTAGATTAGGGGAGTGTTAAAATAATTATTAAGTCTATATAGACTAGAGTAATTATAGTGTGTTGGCAACATCTATCAGCTGTACCTAGTTATGTGCCTAGGGCAGTCTCTTGATCTTTCATCTTCCCATTGTATTAGCTTTATATTATTATAAATAGGAGATCAGAGGTTTTTTATGCCCTCCAAAATATAGTTTTCTCTCTGTTTTAAACATAAGTGTACATAATTGTGACTTTTGCTTCATTTATCTATTATGGCTATTTACTCTTTCGAAGTTGCCAGCTTTTGCATATCGGGTATTGTTTTTAAATATGGTGATGACAGATTATATGATTAATTCATATTCTTATCTACTATAGAAGATTGAGCATATATACGCAGGTGCAGTTGTGTATGCCAAGTTCATTTTGAAAAAAATGATACATAGTTGTGACTTGTGCTTCATTTATCTAATATGGCTTGCACAAGCCGGTTATTACTATTTTACAACGTGTTACAGCCTTTTCAAATGTGGAAAAAGGTTTCATTTATGTAGTGGTTTTAGTTTTGCTTGACTCTGGACTAACTTGGATAGTTTTCAGTTGGGATGCGTTGAACTAAAACTCATAATTAGTATAAAAACTGTTAATTAAAATTACTATATGATTTTCTCATTTAGTTGTCTTTAGCATTAAATTTGTCTGTTAACTAAGTGCTTTGTACATCAGGCTACACCATTTCTTGCTGGCCTTGCTGTAGCTGCTGCAGCACTTGCAGGCAGGTATGGCATCCAAGCTTGGCAAGCATTCAAGGCACGACCCCCACAACCCAGAATGCGTAGGTTCTATGATGGTGGTTTCCAACCTACAATGACGAGGAGAGAAGCAGCTCTAATATTAGGCATCAGGTAAGCTCTATATTGATTGCTCATCACGCACTATATTGCATTTGTTATTTATGGTGGAGAGTGATTCTATGTTAAATGATTAAGTATGTATATGGTGTTTATGTTCATGTATTGTGAGATGTAATTATGTTACTTGTTAAGTCATGTCTTCAAATATGATTACTTTACCACTTTGTCCCTTAAGGTTTGCTGATTGGATCGTATGAATCTTACTTAAGTTATCTCACATACATAGTCATTGCTGATTGATCTGAACCCCGTAAAGGTTTAAGCTTGTTTCAATTTTGCTGTTGCTAGATAACATCACGGTGGTAGTAATTAATGTTCCTCTTACCCTTATCTTAGCTATTTGTATTAAATATACTAATAACTATATTTATAATTTCATTTTCCTAAAATATTTACTAATAAAATATTATCTCCATTATTCACTGTCTTCCCTAATGATGGAATGGAGGTGATTTATATCAAAGTACTTATATAGAAGAGGTTAATCATTTTAACAGATCAATTTTGTGAAAATTAATTTTTGGGTCATCCTTTTTGTATCTAAGTACAATACAATTTATCCAGCACAAATCCCACTTTTTATAGTCCCAAAAAATTCATTCACAAAAATCCATTTTTTACTATTATCAATATACTCACCAACTTTCTTAATCCGTGTGCTAACCCTAAACTGCGAGTTATCCAGAATAGGAAGGAGTACTTCTGATACTTTATTTTTCTAAAATTATAGTGATTTCTAGATCTTCATATTTTACGGAGCTTGACTGTTATCATCATTATATTATTCTCTCTCTCTATATATTTAAAAGAAGTGACACATTGGTGCAACAAGTTTATTGGTTTTAAAATATTGACGAATAAAATGAAAGTTTAACTACTAGTAACCATGAGCATGCTGCAGGTTGCTATTTTAAATTATGGTGATTGATCAAACAACGCTAACTTTAGTTTTTTATCATCCATATGCTAGAGTTTGATGAATACTGAGGCGTTCTTTGTTCAGATCAGTACATTTTTTTCTAGGTGATGAAACCTCTACCAAGGAATTATGGGACTTCCTTCGTGGAGATAAGCCTATTTGAGTGTCTATATATGAGCAGCAGTCCATATGATTGATGTTGGGAAACAAAATTATGTTTGTAGAACCATAAAACATTGACTAGAGAGATCAGATGTAAATCTTGAAAACGTGCATCCTCGCAACTATACAAGATTTTCGCTTTTTTGACCACTCATAAAAGTGTTTCTATCCCTGCACGAAAATTCAGTAAGATCATTTAAGTTATTCTTTCTCTACTTATATATGCTAATTTGTGTCACTTTCTATTACTCTTGATGTTGATACCCCTCCTCTGTGGACAAAAGTAAACCTGCTGCTGCCCTCATCCTATAAATTTATTACTAGGCCTTGTGATTTTGCTCCTCCAAACCAGAATGTTGATCTTGTCTTTGTCATGATGCTTTTCTAAAGTTATACTGTTCCATGATTCATCAGGGAAAATGCAACTGCTGACAAGGTGAAAGAAGCACATAGAAGAGTAATGGTTGCAAACCATCCTGATGCAGGTGGAAGTCATTACCTTGCTTCCAAAATAAATGAAGCAAAAGATGTCATGCTGGGGAAGGCAAAGGGAAGTGGATCTGCATTTTAACACATTTGTGATGTCTTAATTCTGGACATTAACCCACCAGAGTTATTTTAATAAATTCTCAAGAAATACATAAATAGTTACTCTGTTTAGAGGAATTCATTTAATTTGTAAATATTACGGTCTTCCCGTGATTTTTTGGTTCTTTGTAGATAATGGAAAGCTGAAGTTTCTTTTCCCTTGTATGTGTATTGCAGATGCAGACTCCTCAAAACTCCTACATAGTTTGTTCGTGTCAAATATTGCAATAATGAGTGGTAATGAAACACTGAGTATGGTCCTTAAAAGAAGTGTGATGTGCGTTTTTTTTTTTATCCTGGAATGAATTGAACGAGTAACACAGCAATTTCATTTTAAAAAGAGACGATTTGAGAAAAAAATATTATATAAAGTATATTTTATCTTTTGAAGTTTTATCAACTTTCTATTTTATCATTTATAACTATTTTTTCTCATATAATTAATACAATAAATATGAATTAAATTATAATTTATTATTATTATATATATTATTTTTAGTTATTTATATTATTTTTACTTATATTAAATTTGTCATTTTGAACATAAATTTATATTACTTATTATTATATATAAATTTTTATTATAATTAAATTACATTATAAATAAAATATGAATCATAAAATTTAAAAAATATCTGCATCAATTATATAAATATAATGTGAATAATCAATTATATCGTATAAATAATCCATTACATCAATGTAAATAATCGATTATATTAAAAAATATTATTGTATTTATTATATATATATATATATATATATATATATATATATATATATAAAAGGTAATGTTAATAATATATAATTATAGTTATATTAAAATTATATTTAAATATAAATTTAATTTTTTTAATTAGTGTTTGAAATAAACTTGTATACATGATTTTTAATTAATATTTTAATTTGTACTTAAAATAAATTTTTATACATGATTTTTAATTAATTTAAAATTTATTTTTATATAATTTTAAAATTAATTATTTTTTATAAAATAATTTATATTTGTTTTATTAAATTTTAATTAAGAATATTTTAGTAATTTATTAAATTATTTTATTAATATTTTTTATTATTATTTCAAATCAATTATAAATTTTCTCTCATTTCTTGTCACTTTCCATTCCTTTTTTTAATCCAAATCTTTTTAAATATTAATAGAAAATATCCAAAATTATTTTTTATATTTTCTATTAGTTGCATGCACATGTGTATTTGCATGGATTTGTATGTGTGGTTCCCGTTAGAAAATCCATGACCAACTTTTTAATTATACTTGATATGCAAAATAATATTAATATATTTAAATATTATGTATAATATAAATTAATTAACATTTTTATATTTAATTATATCATAATTATTATTTCTACTTAATTTATCTGTTCTATCTGTAAAGATATTTTGGTCATTATACTAAAATAACTATTATTTAATTTTTTTATATTCAATCACGTTAATTACAATAAATCTATTTAAATTTTTTCAAATCTACTGTCTTTTTTTCAATCAAAATAATCCCACAATTCGCTCTAAATCACTTAGATCCACTTCCTCAAATCCTCACCCTAAAGATTATTCAACAGTAAACCATTCTGAGTTTGTGTTTGCTTCTACATATACATTTGAAACGAAGAATTGCGAGAATGGATTTGAGACGATGCACCCTTGTTTACATGTACAAATTTGCGCTGATTTTGGGTGACGAGGAGGTGGGGGCTCATCCACCTACAATCCCTCTCACTTCTCTGGAAGAATTGGTGAGAAAGGTGGGGGTTGAGAGGCAAAATGTCTTATTTGCCAATGCTACCGAATTTTAACAAGTTTTGTGCATGTTGGGATGATTGAGGGAACCAAAACATGTAAATACCAGTGAAGAGGCCACCAACACATGAATAATTGAGATGAGGATGGTTGACTACGTGAAAAAAATTGGAACCTCGCATGTGAACCCATAGCGCAGCCCAAGGTCCTCTGCAACGTTCACATGCAGTTAAAAGGGGTTGAAAAGTTGGTTCCTACACCTGCAACAGTGAGAAAAGCTGGTTCTTCTGCAACGTTATTTGGTCAGAGTGAAGGAAGGTTCAAGCAAGAGGAACTGCATTTTTTGTTCTTCCATCCGAAGGAAGGCAAGCTACAACCAAGAAAACCTCCCACTACATCTTCAGCAAGCTTAGGAGTCCAAGTAAGTAAGTTCATTTATGGGTTTGATTGAAATATTTGTTGATGGTTGAATTATTTATTGCTCATTGACTTGTGTTGGAGTGCATGATAGTAAATATATACATTATTTGAATGCATGTTGGATTGATTAAGTGTAGAAGAGAGATGAACCATATTCGTTTATGTATCAAGACATAATCAAATATTTATGTGCCATATTCAACTATGAGTGATGGGATATTCGATTATATTTGATCCATAATCAAATATTATGTGCTGACATAATTGGTTATGCAGTTACCCATATTCTGCACAAATAAGAAACCGTTGAGAGGTTGTTGATTCTGCTAAGTGGATTGGAAAACACTCAGTGAATTGCTTCTTTTTGGAAGAGCTCTTTGGACTGATTTCGCTCAAACACTAAGTAGATTCTACTGTTTCAGTTCTTATAATTTCTTTAATTTATCATTGAAAGAGTAAACAAATAATTAGTTAAAATATATAATTTAAATAATAATTATATTAAGATATTTTTATTTCCTTTATTATTTTATTTCAATGTTACTTAATTATTTTATTTAATATGAAATAAAAAATTGGGAAAATGAACGACAACTTGTAAATGATTAGTAAGGTAATACAATTTTACTTCGTTAAATATTTACTCAAAATACAAAAAAATTTAAATATATAATTTAAACTACAACGAACAATACTTTATAATTAATATATAAAATAATTTTAATTATACTTGATATATAAAATAATATTAATTATACTTGATATATAAAATATTAATATATTCTTATATTTAATTATATCATAATTATTATTTTTACCTATTTTATCTGTTACAAATTACACAAAAAAAACTATTATTCAATTTTTTTATATTCACTCTTATCAATCACATAAGCTATAATAAATCCATTCAAATTCTTTTAAATCTACTATCTTTCACTCAATCAATACAACTTCACAATCTACTCTAAATCACCTCACATCCACTCCCTCAAATCCCCACCTAAATCCAACACAAGTTAAGTGTGTATTTTGACATAATTTGTTAAATGAAATAAAATTATAATTTAAATTAATAAAATTATTTTAAATTAATTATAAAGTTAATTTAAATTTAAATATATGATTAAGAATGAAAGTTGATAAAATAAATTGCATACTAAATTATAAAATTATAGAAAAAAATGCATAATGAATAAATACAAATCCAATAGAAACAAATATTCAAAGTGTAACCTAAGAATGTCCTAGTCATGTATAATAATAAATATGAATATAACACTAAGCAAATAAAGACATCAATTCTATTGAAAAGGGTCCTCAAAGTCGTTGAATCGTACACTCCATTACTAATTTGCATGTCAACTAATATTGTCATATGCCAGTCTTAGAGTGTTGAAAGTTTGCATTCATGCGCAATAGCTCATTTTTGTTTTTAGCAGTCATCACTTGTCTTTTCACATACATGACTAATCTCTCGGAAATGTTGTGACAACATCTCGTTTGGTTTTTAAATTGTCAACCTAGGTTTCCATCATATCTATCTTCACGACTTTTCTTTTTTAGACCCGGGAAAAGAGGATATACCATTGGATGAGAAAAATGGTGTCGATGTTAGATTATGTGAATCCACATACGAGGGATGAGCAAGGAACATCTTCTGCTATCCCAGGAAATGCAAGCTCTTCGAAGATATACTCCATCTCATTATTTATGGATGCATTGTATAACATCTAAAAATTAATTTATGTAAAATTTTCTTCAAATATAATGTATTAAATAATATTTTAGGTAATTTAAATAATTTTAAAAAGACTCATTTATGTAAATAAATAAATAAATGAATATATATATATATATATATATATATTATTGTTAAACTATTATAAAATAATAATAATAATAAAAATATATTTATTAAAATAATAATAAAATAATTATTATCAATTAGAATATATATATATATATATATATATATATATATATGAAATTAACAATAATTATTATTATAATACATTATGAAATTATTATTAATTATTATTATTATATATTATTACAATTAAAATATATAGATATAATATGAATTAATAATAATAATAATTATTATATTATATATTATTATTAATATGTAAATTATGAAATTATTATTAATTATTATTATTATATACTATTACAATTAAAATATATAGATATAATATGAATTAATAATAATAATTATTATTATGTTATATTAATATGTAAAAAAAGAAAAGAAAAAGAGAGAAGAGGATAACATTTCTTATCTCTTCGTATAAGAAGAGATAAGTTTTAATTGATCAATGACTAAAAATAATATTAATTTAATAAAAGGATAAGAAGTATTAATGAAAAAAAAAAACTATTACCATAAAAAGGGGTGGGTGGTGAAAAAAAAAAAAGGTAAGAAAGGGAAAGAAAGAAAAGAGAGAGGGAAATAAGAGAAGAAGAAAAGAGAAATAACTTCGAAACAAATTTTGGTGTATCATCTACAATGTTGAGATAGGAGAGGAGAATATTATCATTTTATCTATTTTTATTTTAATTATAGTTGTAGAATGAGGTGTCTCTAACCTCATTCTATTTATTGTATTATTTATTTATTTATCTCCATACTTGTACTGGTTATATTTTAATTATCTCCAGTTACGTGCTGGTCTTACTTTATCTTTATTTATTTATCTCTAGTTCTACATTGATCCTATTTTAATTATCTTCATTTACGTGTTGGTCCTACCTTATCTTTATTTATTTATCTCAAGTTCTGCACTAGTCTTATTTTAA